ACAGTTGGGAAAAAAGCTGTTCTGATTCAAAATGATCTTTGACATATGACCTGAGAAGGTTGTCATCTTGGAGCATAGGTTTGGGCAGGATCTGCACGCTAGCTTAGATAGGCACAACAGTAACATCATTTGAGCACCAAATAACACTGGTTTTTATTAGGTAATACACTAATTACTGTGGAGTAATAGTAGCAGATTGCATTCTAAATGGATTTTGGAGGCGATATGGTGGGATCCAAATATATTAAGAAATTGAGCTGCTCTTTTAAAAGACAGCTCAACTTCTTCCTTTTGAGTGCTTAAAATTAATCTATGGTGATTATCTTGTAGTCAGAAAAACTGAACAAACGGTCTGTAATTTCAAGAGTTTGAGTCACACTGTTTCATTTTAGAAGTGCTTTTCCTCACCCTTCTCATTTTATGCATGGACCTGAATGAGCCACAGTTGCCCTTATTCCATCCATTCCTGAGTCTCATGGTGTCCAGGCAGGCTCTGAGGGGAAGGTGGGGGGGGGGTGAAGAGCAGAGAGACAGGATCTCAGAGAACTTCCAGTTACTGATAAATACCACTTCTTCAAAAGATCACTTACATTCACAGAGAATGGGTTTAATTCACTTAATTTGGCTGGGGCCAACCCACCACTATCATCTGGGCAAATGTGACAATCAAAGAATTGCCAGAGAACTGAGCTTATTGAACTACATTTTCTGACACTTGGAAGCCATCTACTGGATAGATAAAAAGAACACAAAATCCTTCATAGCTAAATGCTAAATTTGTCATCTGAAACTCAAAAGCTGATCATTTTCAACATTTGTAAGATGCAGTGTGTCACAATCCTGAAAATTACTACCATGGGGAAAACATTCAGCTGAATGCGAGAGCTTGGCTTAAAAGACACAGGGAGTTACCAGCTGCTCTGTGTGCTGTGGGCTTCAGCAGCTGCTGCACACAAACGTGCACAAGTGCATTCAAATTAGTTGCCTCCACATTTCAATAACAAGCTGATCTACGGCCAAGTGCTTCACTAAACAGGTAGATGTTTTGGTTAAATGCATGCCCAAGGTATTAACCTTTGAAGTATGCAAAGCTGGGATATGCCAGAAGATGAAAGCATTCAGGATGCACCCTGTTTCTTTTATGTTTTCCATTTTTCCCTCTCGCCAGCATTGACCAGCACGCACAACCCTGTGCCACAGGTCCCAGCAATGCCTCAGCCATCCTCCTCACCCACGAGCTCTGGCTGACACAAAGCTCTGTGGTTCATGAAAAGAGATGCAAATCGGTCGAGCCCTAAGGAGGTAAGTTCTCTACACTTATCTCCTCTCCCTGTGAGGTCACCTCCTGTCTCTGGGGCACATGGGTTTTCTTGGAAATTTTCGGACAAATCTGTAAAGAAGCCTCTGCTGCGTGCTCCGTCCCTGGCCAAGATCAGGGTTGGACCAACACCGTGAAGGGTGCTGTGAACAGGAACAAATGCCCCTTCAGGCAGCGGCAGCAGCACCCCTCCAGCCCAGCTGCCCTGCCAGCTGCCAGACTTCTCTCCCAAATGATTTCAAGGGATCCTCACAGACCCGAATCCTGCTCTCAGGCCCAAAGTGAAAGTTTCTCTCCTGCCAGGGAGAACTTCAAGCACCCCAAAACCCTCACAAGCCAAGAGGAAGGACCAGGGCTTCTGTCGCTCAAAAATCCCAACCCTACCATTTCTTCAGAATCAGGAGCTTTTCAGAAAAATGGACTCTAAAAACAGTAGTGCTTCAATGGCACTGACCTAATGGTCATGGGTGGGACTGCTGTAATACTGCTGAAGTACAGAGGGACAGGGAGATCCAACTACTGGCAAAAAACCCCAACATAGGTCTTCTCTGTGCTTTGAAGAGAATGGACATATCTTTATTTTTCTGGACAACTAAACTAATTTAAAATCATACATATTCCTTAAATCTGTGCTTCAGGAAAATTACAAACTGCATTTGAAAACTATTTCATAGACATTAAACTCAATACCCTGAGACTAAAAGGTCAACTTAGTGGCGACAAACAACTACACTTTTTAATCAATTTAGTAGCCACAATCTAGACAAGAAGCAATTTCAGTATTGAGTTGAAGAATTGAGATTGCCAGTATTTTTCTTTGGAGTTAAAATGAAATATGGATCCTGGTTTATTTTTGGAGACACAGTTTTTAAAAAAGATGACATTCAAATGTCTTTTTTCTGCATTGTAATAAAAGCTATACATTTCTTCAGCTGCTTTTTTACATTCTTAACACACATTTTGAAGTTTGGGGAAAAATCCAAACCCACTGCTGAGGTTTCAGTATGTTTTCTTTTTCTTGCTAAACTAGCAGCAATAAATAATAAACACATCCTGACTTGAAACTTCAGCTGCCTGCAATGCTGCATTAAAAAAAAAACAACAACAAAAAAAACCCCAAAACCCCCCCCAAAACTGTAGTAACTGTGTGCTTCTGGATTTGTACAGCAAGCTTGTCTGTGCCACTGACTGGAAAAGATGCTGCAGCACCTGTCACTGCCATAGAACTGCTTAGTTCCAGATGCACTTTATTCAGGATTATTTTTTATGTATTTTTCTTTTATATTATATATGCACAGACACACACTATATATGTATATACATACATTTCTTTATATGTAGAAAATAATATATTTTACATACCTGTAAAGCAAAAAAAAGGTCTCCGAGAACCCAATTAAAACTCAGTGCAGCCCCAAACCTGCCTCAGTGCTCCTCAAGCTCCTGCGCAGGGCTCCCTCTGCATTTACCTTTAAGAGCTGCGATTATCCTCACCTGAAGTTCCTCTTTCTTCACATCCCATTTCTGTTCCGGTCATGATTCAGCGAGTACGTCTGACATCTGATAAGACAGCAGATCTGTTTCAACATGTCCTTTCTGGATTCTTGGGACAAAATTAATCTCGCCTAACTTCAGCCCTCTAGAGCAGAGATTGATGCTGATCACTGCCAGCTCCCACTACAGTCAGTGGGAAAAACCAGACCCTTGGAGAGACCCGCTCCTCTGACTGACGGCATGCCACTGCCCTCCACTGACAAGGCAGAGCGCCCACAGTGACTTAGCGCAGGTGCAAACATCCAAATCAGTGAGATAAACTCCACTGTCTGTGTTAGATCTTTATTAACCCCCTTCTATTAATGTTCAAGATTACAAAAATGTACATTTTGACAATTTAATACTTTCATCTGTAATGCTTTTGTATTCCTAGTCATAAATAATACACAAACCATTACAAAGGCCACTATAAAAATACATCCTTTTTTTGGTATGTCTGTTTGTACCAAAACAAGAATAAAATGCAGACAGGTTTATTGATAGCTGCAGAAGTTACTGTTGATGCAAAATAGATAGCAATACCCTACTCGCAGGCATAACATTTCCCTGTGCAGAGCAGAACCAAATCTGAAGTAGGCAAATTATTTCATTCTGTGAAAAAAAAAGTTTCTTTTAATAAATAAAGTATTTGATATGCAGGTTTTGATGAGATGAAATTATTAAGGGTATCAAGACTCCTTAATTAAAAGCTACAAGTTATTGAACAAAACTGAACTTAGAAAAACATTCAGGAAACAAAACTGTTACAATACACAACTCAGGTGTTGGTGTTTATAAATATATATATACACACACACACATACACAAATAAAACAACTGGAAGGGATAAAATTGCTTTCCTTCACACAAAGGAATCGAGCGGTCTCTCTGCACTCCAAGCATTACCATTTAGTTACCTCATCCCACTGCTTTAGCTCCTGCAGGCCCTGTTCACATTTTGGTTACTGGCTTGTATTTTCTCCTGCAGGAATTAAAAACCAAACCTGCCTGTCCCCATATCTCTAGGATAAGGAAAGGAGAGGCTTTGTTTCTTATTAAATCCCACTTTCTTCGATACAACCATATGCCTATGGGACTGTAAGCTTTTCACAAATATTTTGCTAAATTTGCTACATTTTTTTAATATTTCCTCAAATAAAGGTCTCTTATTTTTGAGATAATCAAAACACAATTGATTCTTTTAGAAAACAGCACTGGGCAAAATGTTCCATGTAATAAGATAAATCTCATTTAGTTGTCCCAGACAGACATCTTCAAACAGTGAGGTCTAAACTACAGATAGCAATCTTATGCAAGGAGATTAATATATACTCAGAGAATAAAATGTATGCACACTGGTAAAGTCACATAATGCACAGACAAATAATATTTTCTAAAAATGCAGTGTTTGTGAATGTATTCTGTGCACAGCTTTCTCGGATGAACTGCAAAAGAAATCTTGGCAGGTAATGCTGAAATCAGCTCTTACAGGATTTACAAGTTGTAAATAGGCATAGGCAGCTACCAGGGGTATACCCCTATTGCGTGTTACTCATTAATTAATACTGCCCTTTGTAGCTTTGAGAAAGCTTACGTACTTTCCTCAGTTACAATGTAGATCTGTTCATCTGGCACAGTGTTCTTGTGTGTGTTGGTTTCTTCCCCCTCCATGGAACACTTCTTCACCTCCAGATACCAGCGCCGAGTGCAGACAGCGTCATTTCACATGTCTGAAGTAAGTACCGCCTGCAGCTGCTTGCTCTGCCAGTCCCTGGAGGGAGGTGTTCCAGCAACAGGGAGTGGGGAAGGCAAATGGGATTTGAAGCAGCTATGCAGAGGCCCCAGCTTATGTCCTCTCATCCTAGGCAGCCCCAAGTCAGAGCAAGTTTAACAGCCTGGAGTATAAACTGTAGGACCTTGGGAGTTGCTTCCTGGGGAGGCAAGTAATTGCTTTAGGAACTTGAGTTTAACCCATCCAGAGATGACGGCGTAAACCCTTAGGCTAGCAACGGAAAAGCCAGCGTTACCTTTGCCGCCTTTGCCACGCAGTCCAATCTTTCTTGTCTGACAACCCACAAATAAGACATTTTTTCCCCCTAGATAGTATAGCAAAGGTTTATGGTTTTTATGGCTGACTGATGGTAAATTGAGCTGCATTGGGAAAGCAAAAATTTTACACAATAAACCGTAAATCATTTTGCAATCATTAACGAGCATTCTCAAAATCTTACTGCTGCCGATTAGAAACCTAATTCACTGGAACTGGTCACTCGCTATATTATATAAAGGAAAAAAGTCACTAGTCCTTCACGTTCTGAAAAGGGGGATGTGATAGTAGCGGTCATCCTCAGTCAGGAGAGAAATCTCATTCCATTCCCTTCTGTATTCGTCTGGATAGTTTACTTGAAATTCCTCAGTATTAAACCTATGCAGTCTGTAAACTCTTATCTTTACTTCAAGTAAGTATCCAAGAAAGAACAGTTCAACCTAAAGATGAAAGAAGTCTGTAAGACATTTATTTTTAGACTTAGAAAACTAAACCAAAGATAATCCAAGTTAAGGCAAGTCATCTAGCTTCAAAATAGCGGACAAGGAATAAAAGTGGCCCTTTTATAAGGCGAGTAAGAAAATTAAAAGTTTGAGGTTATTCTCAATGTTCCAACAGTCCTTCCACTGCTCTTCTGCATGTACAGGACATTGTGGTTAATGCTTGACGCTCTGGAAACATCCCTCTTCCACCTGACACAATACATAACCTGCTCCCAAAGCCAGCTCACACAGCTTAGTGGGGAGCAAGAAGGGACTAGCTAGTATTAAAAGATTGATACACCTTGAAAAATGGGAAGCCTGCCACCTTGTGATCATTTGCTACATGAGGGAAATATAATAGTAAAAGGAAAAAATTTCCTTGTACTTCATGTATATGAAACTTGAGAACTGGCCTCTTCATTGACTCTTCTTGTAAAGGATTGCTTAATTTGGAAAAATCTTTTGGAAAAAGCTTTTATCGTTGGGCACAGCCAGACAGGGCAGAACTTGTTCAGTTATAATCAAACTGCTCCTGAAGGTGACTGCAACATGTAACAGTTGACTTAACATATAAAGGTGAACAGTTAATAGAGTTCCCATTACGTACTCTTAACAGACATTAGATGTAATGGTAACCAAAGAGGGGAAAAAAATTAAGAGTGATGACAGAGGGTTTGGCATGGTAGAACAGATAGGAAAAGCAAAACAACATGTCAAATCTGCATAATCGGAAATTATTTTATACATCAGAAGTATCATTGTACTACACTATGTCTCACTGATAGCTTGCAGCATTTATTTCTGGCCCAGCAAGAAAAATGACCACCCCATTTTACTCTGCTACAGTCTTTTTCCTGGAAGATAAATGACTATCCTCAGTCTGCTTCCCACATCCCAAAGAAAAAAAATGGGCCAGCTATCACGGATGATGTATGATATATACACCCAATCCCATCAGAGGTGGAATTTAATTTTCATTTAAATCATTACCTGGTCTAGGCAAATAGAGTCACCTATGGAGTTCAGATGATTCATCATGAAACTCAAAGGGTCAGACGAAGAATCACGAGCAAGGAGAAGGCTAAAAAGGTTGTGTATGGGTTCTTCCCTGTTCTTTATCTGCTCATAGGCTTCGACAACTTCATAGAGCATGATGAATTTTATGGCCTCGTATAGTTTGTGCTCCTTGCTCTCATCAGAAAAGAGTGTATTACACATGTTTCCTCTTTCTTCATGATCTTTAGTAGCACTTATCTCAGCCCACTGGAAAGCACACAGAAGAATATTAATAAAATTATTAAGAAGTCTATTTAATATGAAAGGATCCAAAAGGAACAATTGCCAGTCTCTACTATACCATTAGTGTGGCCAAATGGTGGTGCAGATAAGCAGGTGGCTCCTTCGGATCCACAGTGAAATTTGAAGCCTTACACATTTCAGTTTCCATTTATCCACCTGAACCTATTTGCTACAGACAGCTCCAAGCATCTGGATGCTAATGACAGTCTATGAGAAAGCAAATTTAATTCCCCTACACAAAAGCCACCCATGACCACTGTAGAAAATCCAGGTATCACTGTCAGTAAAGAGTCTGACAGGAGCGTAACCATCAAAAGGACCTCAGAAAGTTACAAGAAATCTGTGTGGGTGCATCAGACATACACACTAAGCCATAAGCAAAGGTTACATTAAGTGATGATTCCTGACCTGTTTTTAACTTACAGTTTCCAAAATTCAGTGGTTTTCCTCTGAAGTAAGTAGTACCCCTTACATTAAAAGTTGTCCTGGCTTGAATTCTTTAGATACTGAGCCTGATTCAGAAGCATGTCAATTAAAAGGAATATAGACAAACTGGACAAGCCAGCATGGTATTATGAACTGTACACATCTGTATGTCTTTAGTGTCTTCTGCTTCATGAGGTCATGGTAAGTTGGCTGCACAAGAAGAGATAAGACAAAGACAAAGGTGGGACAGGAATGGGATAGGAATTTCTCATCACATCCAGAAAATGGGCCGTCCAGGAGACAATGCTGGACTGGGTACCAAATCAGAAAGCTTAAAGTTCCCAGTCCTGAACACAGTGGCTAAAAAGAGTCGTCTGGAACTGAGAGATTTTTGGGACTATGATAAGAGATGATGTGCAATGACTGGGATTCAAATGCATTTCAGTAATTCTGTGCTCGTATCATTTATATGTTGAAGTGGCCATAAACTGTGAATTGCAACTAAAAAAAAAAAAGTAAATCTAACTTGCCCATTAATACTATGGAGAAACAGATCCCCATCTCCTCATGCATTCCTGAAGACTCTCCTTACAGGTTAAAAATGAGACCAAGTGGATGAACCACTAATGCCCCTTTGCTAGAGGACCTCTACTACCTGAGTGAAAAGCCTGTCCTAAGCGTAAAGCACCTATTAACCAACACGGCCCAGGCACAACAGGCAGCAGCCCACAAGATGACGAGGGAGCTGGGAAAGGCAGAGAACCCTGTTAGTGAAAATAGGCAAAAATCCATCTCACTTGCCAAACAGCATCTTTAGAAAAATAAAATGAAGTTGGGAGCTAGACCTCATGCCAAATAACAGCATAATGCATCATACAGCTGCTCCACAACAATTTGTTAAGTGTATGGATTTGTTCACTGTGCTGACTTGAAGCTTTCTCTACAAACACCCAGTTTAAATGCTTCATGCTAAGGGACTATCACCAACTTAAAAGAACTACAAGAAGTTAAAAATAAAAGCCAAACAATCCAACAGTGGCAAACACAAAGAGCAACCAGAACACAATGGTAACTGCACACAAGAACCACCAGGCATGTCTCAAGAAGACAGGCAGTTGTCACTGTGGCACAGCAAGGGTGCAGGCAAGGGACAAGGACCAGATCTCTATTTTAATTCCCTCTTTGTATTACTCATACTTTGTTTCTAGAGCTAAATAAATCTATTTGTGGTTTATTGTTTCTCTAGCAGTTACTATCACTGATAATAGCATTTAACTCTACAGAGTTGTGGCTCATATACACAGGGCCACATAAAAGGAACTAGCTTAAATGAGTACCAGTAAAATAAGCTGTTGTGGCTGTGGTAAGACAACCCAGAATCATGGTGTATTGTAGAATTAAAAATGACAGTTTAAAGTCTGACATACTGGATAATGGATGCCTTCAGAGAAGTGTTTCAAGCTAACTGGCCAAAACCCTGGAGTCCAGCAAATATCAGTCTCCACCTGATGGTTGTGACCCATGAGAGCATACAAAGCAACTGCCTGGCAGGAGGAAGATGGGGAGGAGAGGGTGGTGGGTGTGCTAGGGACAGCCTGTGGCAAAGGAAATAGGAACAGTCCAGACCTCACGCAACTGCAGACATGCAGAAACCCCAGAGGAGTCTTTAACTCTGTTTCAGAAGGCTTTGGGGACACTAAAACTCCCCAGGTTTTAAACATGTAAATAAGAGTTGGGAATGCAGGCAATCTGGCTATGTTGAGCAGAGGGGGCAGCGAGGCTGACAGGTCTTTGTAATCAAGTGCTTCAGCTTACAGAGAGAAACTATTGCAAAACTGGATAAATAAAACATTTTATGGAGATGGGAGCAAAGGAAAGACAATAGTTTGAGAAGAAAATGAACCGTTTGTTTGTTCCCTCCCACTGGGGGAGGGAATCCAGGAGGATCTCATACAGCATGTAGTAATTTTTAATTGAAATTATGAGATACTGCAGAAGCCACTTGATGGCAAGGGCAACTTGCCACACAGTAACAGCTGTGGGGAGGCTGCCCTCCCTAATTTGCAGGGGGACCCCTGAGTACTTAGCCTAGTGGATCCCCAAAAGCTGGATTCCCCTGCAGGACAGGTGATGGCCTTCCCAGCAGCTCAGCTCTCTGAACCTGGGAGTGAGGCTAACTGCCATAAAAATACATAATCAGGAGCAGTTCCCTAACTCTGTCTCAACCCATTTCTCAGTGCTTTTATTCCTCCCAAGCATTTCCTAAATACTCACATTCATCTTTAACGTCTCCATACATTTGCGCAATTTACCAAAGGCATTGGGACCTGTGTATCTTTCTGGCCCAAAACTGTATTGCTGAATCCAGTTGCAACCTTGGGAATACAAAAGCTTTTCTGGGAGCTGGGGTAGGAGAAAAAAAAAAAAAAAAAAAGGCAGCTAATCATAAGCATAACAAGAAGTAGAATATAAAGTTACATAAACTTGTCTACACACATTATAATTTACAATGTGGCTCTACCCTCTGGTTGTACAACCAACAACAAAAAAAATGGGCCTCAGAACAACTCAAATGTTAAGGAGGCTCCATTTGACTTAAGAAACTTTTCATACAGGGTCAGCCAAAAAAGGAAGAAAATATTCTCTCAGCAAAATATATAAACCCACACTCTGGAAAAGCTGCAAACATCCGAATTCACTGTGGTACTCAGGATTACAGACACCCTCCAGTTTGCACGCACACCCCCACAGGCAGCAGCCATAGCTCCCCACCTCCTTGCTGCT